TCATATTTAGATAAAAGACGTGAGAAATTAACTGAACATAAGTACCTCCTAGTGGAAAACATATTTTCTCTATTAACTGATTCTGTTGACTGAATAGCAGCATTTTTCAGCTTCAGATACACAAGTGACTCTTGATGGGAATCATTATGTCAGTGTTTGCACTGCCTTTCCATGAAAACAGCCATTAAGATCTAAGTGTCTACAGAACTAAACCTTTTAACCTCTTCCTGCTATGATAGTTTATCACTACAAATTTTATTTTAACATAGTGAGCTGAACAAGATGCAGAAATGAAGTGGGATACAAGTTACTTTCACACAACTAATACATTGCTAATTATACCTGAGTAAATATTGAAACAGTAATTTCTAACAACATTAACCATTGCTCTCTTTCCAGTGTGTTTTGCTGTAGGAGTGTTCAGGACTGCAATCATGATTTAATACACAATGAAGCAGAAATACAGGGAGTTTTCATTACTTTTAGCTTTCAGTAGTGAGGTAAAAATAATAAGCATTTTTTAGCTATATGCCTAAAACAGGCCAATGCTAACATCCAGTAATTTGCAGGTTTCTGTCATTAATAACAAAGTCTTCCTGATTAACCCATAAACTTGAATTAACTTTTGATTTTGTTCTAGAAAAGCTTAGTAAAATGGAATAGCTATACAAAAGCTTTCTATATGGTTATACAGAAAAATGATACAGATCGCACGCTACCTGTTCATCATGAGAGCTGGAAAAGAATGACCTTTCTAACACTGGAGAAATTCCTCATAGGTACTCAGATAGGCTGGTCCCAAATGGACCTCTTGGCCCTTTTGCAGCTACCTGCTGTCAGCCTGCTCTGGCCAGCCCCTCTCCATCCCTCCACAAGATCACAAACCCAGTGCATTCCCCAGTTGGTTCCTTCTTCCCACATCGACACAGTCCTCTCAGCTGGGACTTCCCTCTTTCTGCAGCAATTCATCCTCAGCCAAGGTCCCCACTGCCAGAAATAGCATCTGGAGCTAGCTTTTCGCTTGTCAAAAAGGGAACTTGCAACGGGTGGATAGCTGAAGGAAGGCGAAAGTAGGTGTATTTACAGTAGAGAGGTCATGCTAAAAGAAAGTTCTGTCATAGTGATCTCACACTAAAGTAACTCAGTCATTTTAAGTCACTATGGCCTGGACTGAAACTGAGTTGCAGACACTCCCGGCCATACCTCTCCTTTTGCTACCCGCTATCATGCAGAGTGCCTTGCGGCCTGCCCATAGCCTGTGCAAATGTGCTTGGCAGTGTGCTAAGACTGAACATGTTCTGGATGGCATGCTCCAGCAGGACATCTCCAGATGTGTTATAGGCAGGGCAGACAAGTCCTGAGCGTACTGTTGAGGCAATCCTTAACCAGTCTTGCTGACAGCCTTAGTCAGTCATACATGGGTGCTTTATCTCCCTGCCACTACCTCCTTTGGGCAAATTCCCATGTTCTCTTTAGAAAATAGAAGTTACATCTCTATGACCATAAAAAGCTGCTAATTTGGGTCTGGATTTGTGTTCGCAGGGCTGTTGTATTTGCATACAGATTGATGCATGCATGTCCGGTAGATTATCTGGTAGGTTTAGAAAAAGACTTCTAAAAGCCATGGGCTAAATTTATGACAGCAAAAACCCAGGATAAATTGCTACAGCCTTAAATATAGTATAATCTAATCTTTTGTACAGCTTCTGTAACTCAAATCTTTTATCTTATTTTAAGATTCAGATTTGAGTTCTTGTGAGAAATATCACAATCTTTCAATATACGTACTTTGAAAGGGAGGAAATGCTAACGCTGCTGACACAACAGAAGTCCTGTTCCAATTTTCTTAACACGACACGGACATACAGAGCCCAAGTTCTCAATAGCTGAAGTATAGTTATGCCTACTAGCTAGTAGTAACATGCTCTTAGTTGTATTCAACATTGCCTTTATTATGGCTAACAGAAGGTGGAGTGAAGGGAGGAATGGAAAAAGAATCACGACTATGAAAACGTACACTGGGCTTTCTGGTGTTTCCTGGCTCCGGCTGCCATCTAGCGTTTAGTTTAGGCACGATGAAAAACACAGCTTATTCTATCTGTGCGAATTTTCTTCTGAGACTCTGAACTCTGCCTATGTACAGACAGGAAAAACAGTGCAGACCTCAATGGGAGATCTCCAAAGTACAACAGAGGGGGGAAATTTAACACTGCAAGTTGAGAAGAGCCCCTATAGTTACCTCCCAAGAACTCCAGGTAGCAGTACTTCATATGAATTAACTGCTTTACGTGGTATAAGTGTGGTCTCTACTGAGCTAAGTACAGGCATCTCAAAGCATACACTTTGATCTTCCACTGCATAAGAAGCGGCTACACTTCTGTTCTTCCTTACTGCTGTTGTAGACATTGCTGTTTATTTTGGGCTTCTTTTTCTTTCACGTAAATGAGTGGAAATGAATGGAAGGCCTCACCCTAACTGCAAGAACACTAGTGTAGAGAAAAAAAATCTCAGTGTAAAAACTCTTCACTGCAATTGTGCAAGCCAAGCGTTAAGTGTGACAGACAATGTGTGAACTCAAATTAAGCTTCTGGGACAGGATGAACATACATCGTTATCCTTAACATCTCACTAGCTTGAATCATGCTAGGAAATGATTTCTGTTGTACTGTGGGAGATCTAGTCCATACTCCTCAAATGAGCATGAGCTGGTAGCTCTTTAATACAGTAGCATAATACTCTTTCAGCTCAGCACACTCTTCCAGTTTTTTTGTTCCGATGTTGCACATGGCTTTAAGTGTGGCAGCTTTTGCTTGCCCCATCATTGTAGCAGGCAGATAGCAGAGAGGGCACAGCGGACAACCTTTCAGCAGATACTGCTGATCCTTGGGAATCAGCAGATCTTTGAGTGGAGATTGTGCAAACTGGAGGGTAATGTGACAAGCTGGTCATTCTGCAATCACCATCACTTTTGGTGCAGGACAGGCAGTAAACCAAAGATGTAATGAATTACGTTGTCCTGGAGATCGTCTGATGCGTGGGGCTTGTGTAAACAAGGGAAGTCATGCCAACTACTGTAGACCCAAAAACAACATGGTGTTGGAAAGTTGCCTGTCAGCACCCTAGCAACAGGGTCAGGCATGTGAAGCAATTACTTTATTCACAAGTAATGAACGGAGCCTAATGAACAGCTAGCTTTGAGAGGATGGGAAGAAGCTTATGGCATGAGAGAGAGCTCCCTTATTGAACTTGCTTCATACTGAGGTCACAAGTTGACACCTTGCATCTAGTCAGAATGCCTGCTTCACTTCTAAGCATTAGACTGTTCAGAAGCTTCTTAAAACTACTGTAGTTTCAGGTCACAGAGATACTATGAGAAATAGTCCATATTTAACTTACTAGTTAGGGAGGAAGGGGATGTTGTAGGGTTGCCTTTTATCAATTTGGTTTGGGAATATTTCATGCTTGAAAGAGCTCCGAAGCTTCTCTAAGTACTCTGAATCTTCTAGAGCACCCTGCTTTGAAGACGGAGCAAAGCTTTGCAGTCTGTCATAGAGACCTATCACAAACTGTAAGCAAATCAGTTAACAGAGAGGGCTAGTGAAGGGCAAAGGTAGTCACAAGACACCTTGGTAGGCTAGGGCTACCTCTCCTTTTCTGCCAGAAAGGTCTTCAGAAAGGCAGTACTTACTGTTTCAACGTCAGGCTAAAAATCAGTGTGCCCCCTCTGAAGAGCTTTGTTAAGAACATGAACAAGCTTTGTAGCAACTATGGTAGATTGTGACCATCTAGTCAAATTCTTAAAACCCATGTGAAATGACCAGTTAAATTTGCCAATGTAGTCCTTTGATTTCCAGTAGTTATTCTCAGATTTTTTCATTTATTCCAGATGTTGAATCTATCTGCCTAACCTCCTTCTTACACTATAAATCTTCAAGTCCTCTGCCAGGATTTGAATCTTAACTCTGAGTAAGAATTTCCTAGTTGAAGTTGCACTTTGTTCATTAATCAGCTACGTAAGAAAACTTTTTGTATACTGGACTGTTGATGTCTTCATGAAGAAGATTCACAGGTTTTAATTGACGGTCTGTGTATTCTATCAACAGTAACTCATTTTCCCTTCTGACTATCCCAGACATGAATTGCCCAACAAAAGCTATCTTGTAAATATAGAGCTTTATCTTAAATTATGTTAAAGGTTAACATCAACTCTAAGATGATTAACTTTGTCATTTGGTCTTTCACAACACCAAAACAGGTATTTTGTTTTGACCATTATGGGAATACCCCTCACATATAGTCTACCAAAAGCATTTTGATTACACTGTGATCTTTACTTCTGTTTTACTCCAACTTTTGCCAAAATCGCAAGCTAGCACAGATCTAAAAATAAAATGCCTTTCAACTTAATTATGGCTAGGTGTCCTTTCACAGAATTAAAGAGGTAGCCACATATTATATGCAGTTATTTGGGAGAATAATGCTTTAGCAAAGAAACAAGCAACAGGGATCTCTGATCCTCTTGCAAGAGAGTCTGAAGTTAGAAAGCAAGTAGACACAAACTGTAAGTTTACAAAAGCTGCCACTTGTAGAGTCAAAGAAAATTAGCGCAGTCTTCAGTGCTAACACTGAGTGAGAAAGCAAAGAGGGGAAATAACCCTTAATATAATTTTTTTCTCCTGAAGAGCATTAGGAAACCTAACAGTGAGAAAGCTAGATGCTTCAGCCAGCTGATGCCCCTCAGAAGTAAACCACAGACAAGAGAATCTATAGCGTTAGAGCTCTGAGTATGGATATGACTAACCTGTTGTGATCTCACAGGCAGGTGTATGAATATTGACTCTCAAAAACAGAGTAGCTGTATACAAAACCCCATTTCTGTACAGGGATAATAGTTCATGATCTATGTACACCAGAGGTCAGTTAAGAGGAAGTGTTCAATTTGTACACAGAGAGGAAGTTTAAAGCCCATAAATCCAGCAAGCTGAAGTCCAACACTGTACTCTGACGAACAACAAGCAGGGAAGCGCATCTGGAGCTGCCGCTGCTGAAGCATACATTTATTCCAAACGCGTACTCTCACCTCAAGTATTTTCAGGCACGTCTCCATTTCACAAAATAAGTCAGTTTAACATAAAAAATTCTGCATATCTTGTATAAAATACAAGGGCCGTGGAAATGGTACAGCAGACATTAAAATTAATGAATTATTAACTATGAAACAATGATGATCCCACATCAATTATAACAATAAAATCACAGCGCAATGCTCAATTAGTTCCTATTCTTGCCTATGGGAAACTTAAAAGTAAAGCTGAAATTAAGATTAAGGTAAGTCTGGTTTTCTGGTAAGACCTCTGAAGAGCAGGCAGTTGCTGATCTCAGTAGTGTTAATCATCTGATATTAGATACAATTTCAAATGAAGCATTTCTGCAAAACCTGCAAAAAATTAACTGATATAGAAGACTCAAATTTATAAGAAGAGATCTGTTGGAATTTCAAGACAGAGGGCATCATTTTCCAAAATAAAAACAAATACTGAAATAGCAGTACATAAAGCCGAAGCATTGCCATGTCTTGACTGGACCATCAAAACTAAACAACTTTCTTTTGGAAACTTTAGACACAGAAAATCGTGCAAAAATTGATTAAGTTAAATAATTTTTTTAAAGTGCACTACTTATGTGAACAGTACACTGATACTTTTAAAAAGCTTGAATATAGAAATGCAAAGAACCACCCACAGTATAGTTTTGTGCATTTAGAACAATTAATACCAAGAATTACATTACTAACACTACTTATATTTCTCTCGTTAGGTTTAGGTTTACATCTTCTTATGTGCCTGTAGAGAATGCAACACAACGGAAATTTGATCTTGTTCGATCATCGACAAAACCAAAAAAAAAAAAAACATTAAAAATCTGGACTATTTTTTCCTCAGTTGATTTACTGAAAACTCTTGGATTTGAAGGATTTCTTAAACTTAGAGATACTCTCCTCCATCGAGATACCCAAACAAGATTAATGGAAATTATACCTGACAAGTATAAGATAAAGTACTTAATATCAGCTGATTACAATGCACAAATTCCAATCATACTTCATTTTAATTTCATGTAAACCCATTTGTTGATAGGCAGTATGCTCAGAACTTATTCCTGAGACAAGCATCTTTTTTTAAGCACAATGATTTGTTACTTTGCTACTGTAATCAATTTGCAAATGCAGTGGGCACATAAGAGACCGAAGAATAGATTGTGTTTATCTACCAAAAGTAAGGTGCAACAATGCTTGGAAAGACAAAGGCTAGTAAGTAACACTACTGGGTAACAACGGCTCTAAATTAGAGCTCATAGTAAAAGCAACTGAATGAAGTTTGGATGTGTGTGATCTACATACAAAAAAAGAAACAAGCTGAAGAAACGGATAGGCTGATGACACTGAAAGAACCAATAGACAAGAGAAAAAGGGAGAGACTGGACAAACAATAATGCCTCGATATTTTTGGATTCAGGATCAGATGTGGTGTTCTGTAGTTAAGATAGTAAATGCTGTTATTTTGTTTTGTCACTTAAGGAACTACACATTTTTTCGATAAAAAATGTCTCTTGCTATGCCTTCCAGTGTAATTTAAAACTTAAGAATATTAGTTGCTTATATGTTTCCTTTTACAGATCTTTATGTAATTATGATACGAAACCAAATACTTAACAGTAAAAATTTACTTAGAATTATTCCATAACACCACCATCTTGGTCCAATCTCAAAACACTACTTTGCAGTAGCACCTTAAATTATCAGTAGGGTAAGACTACTCTCTATTTATCTATTGTTTTATCAGGTTCACGGTATAGAACAACAAGTATATGAGAGCAAGAGACAGCCATTGTATCAATATATTTAAGGTGTAGCTTTGGTATTCAATTTGTTGCATCATCCCGTTTCAGAGGAATTATCTGAAGTGCTTTGGCTATTCTCTCTCCTACAGCTCGACTGCTTGCAGCAATTATTCTTCGAGACATCAAATCAAACGGTCCACCTAAAAATCAAAGCAAGCAAAGTACCTAGTTTATACCCTGAAAAAATTAAAAGTTGGTAGGAAAATGAGCATAAAAATCAAATGCAAGTAATACATTAACAGATCGGTATTACCATTCAGGATCAAGTTCTGCCCCTGGATAAAAATGCATTTTAAATCAACAGGTGATCATCTCATATGAGCTACATTTAAATTCTCCTCAGTGTACATTTACTCTTTTTTAATTTTGAAGACATGCTACTTCTACATTTTTTTCCATGTGCTCAACCCAGAAGGTAAAAAAAGTGTCTTGTAAACTTAAGAGCAAATAATTGCTTCTCTCTGTCTATTAACTGGATGGAAACACCGCTCAGTAGTGGTAACTTAGAAGCAGGATTGAAAACCAGTGACCTTCTGATTTCGGCTATGTTTTGCTCCCAATTAGCTACTGAAAAGGACAAAGGAGTATCATGCATGCCCATGCATTTACCTGATACATCTATCAGCACTCCGCCTGCTTCAGTGATGATGATTCCAGCCCCTGCCATATCCCAGCAATGAATTCCCATTTCATAATAGGCATCAGCTCCACCTGTTGCCACAAGGCACATGTTCACAGCTGCAGTACCAACAGCTCTAATCCTAAAGGAGATACAGTTGTTTTTAAATTGAGATCAGTTCATAAGACAGTCACAAACATTGTTTGTGTGAACTATTCAGAGCACCAAAGCATCATACGCAAAATGAGCTGAACTGGAGAAAATGCGATGGGATGTTTTAGGGAAACAAATGGGTGTAACTGCATTCCCCCCGCCTTTTTTTTTTTTTTTTTTTTTAAAGTGTTGGGAAGAGCCCTCTGAATATAGCAAATTTCCAGAAATAACATTTACAGATTATATTAACATCAGGTAATTTTGTTTTAGATGTGAAAAAATATCTTAAAATCACTTTTTAACCTAAAACAAGTATTACGGAAGACAGCTACCCAAAAAAACAGTAGTAGATATTCTACTTTCCTTTTTGAATACTAGAATTCAGGCAGAGTTTGACCTCCTCAATCTTGCAAAAAAAAAAAAAAAAAAACAACAAAAACCTAATTTCAGTTTCTTTAGTGATGGTCAGTAAGCATCTCCGACTTATAAAAACACTAACAGCAATAATCCCAAATAATAAATTAACAATATGAATTAGCTCTGCATAACTTAAATGTGCTGCAAACTCTAGTTATTTTTGGAAATGTTATTATAATTAATGAGCAAAAGTGTGACTTCTACACATAATTTTCATTATGTCAATTATCAGTAAAATCTACATGAAATTGTAACTGATGGCAGCTAAGCTACAGCAAGAAGCATCTTAACTCTAATCTTCAATTTACTTTTTACAAGTAAAATTTCAAAGTTGAGCTAACAACAAAACTGAAATGTATTCCCAATTTACAGTTTAGCATATATTCTTTAATGACATCAGAAGTTTTTCTGAAAGTACAAAAAGTCTAAATATTAAGACTCAAAACAAGAATCCTACGATTCTTGCAACCCCTTTTATGCCAGAAACATGAGTAGGTTTAAATAACAAAAAATTGTCTTCTGAAACCATCTTTAGACACAAAATGGCTTGTGGAAATGTAGGCTTTGGTTTATCTGGGGAAGCAGGGAATGTAACTGAATATTAGTTTGTGGACAATGTCAACTACTTGGATAGTAGTTGACTATCTACTATGGAGTTGAAAGAGCAGAAAGGAAAATCTACTTTTGCCTCCTGATGCGTTAAAAAAAGTTCTTTCTTTACTACAGGGAAATGGAACTAAATAATCTAATATAGCTATTCTAATTTAACATAGCTGTTCTCTACGCTGTTCCTATTACTCCATGCGTCTCTCTGCAAAAATATACAAAATTGTATTCAATTTTTTAATTAGAATAGAAAACATAGTATTTTCTAGTCCTACAAAACCAAGCATGCCTCAGTCCTCATTACCATCTGATTATGTCCCAGCCTGAAAAAAAGAAACACAGTCTCTTTGTAGAAGTTACTAGACGATCACATTTAAATCATATTTCATTTTTGAGAAGTTATGTTAACTGTATGCAATATATGTATGTAAATAAATGTAACTGATCCTTCCTATAAATCATCATATTTAACACTATCAGTAAATATTAAAAATAAGAAATATCTTACCCATGAATAGGAATACTGAGAAGTCTTTCCATGTTAGAAAGAATTATTTTAATAGTCTCTGGATCACGATTTGATCCCAATTCTGTTACTAAAAGGGATTTTGTAATGTCTGGAAAGGAAATAAAACCTCACTTTTCCAACAGTACAGCTTATATAGTGACAGTAATTAGGTATCTGAGTTAAACTCAAGCAAAGAGTACTTCACTGCTTTCTTGTAAGACTGAACAAAATTGAAGTATTTTAATATTACATGACTGAACTTGTGAAAAAAAAAAATTCTTACATGAAAAAAGGCAGGAAAAAATAAAACAAAGTTAACAAAGCACCATCTGGTTTAACTGCATATCTATGTTAACTGAGATCATTCCTATATAAAATTCTCTTGTTAGAAAAATTAGAACTGTTCTCAACTCTGTAAGGGTCCCCATGTAATCATGGGTTTTCCTCTCCATAAGGTAGTAAGTATACAACAGTGATACTGATAAGATTTAAACCCATGCTGGTTCAGAGCTGGAAGAAGTTAAGTCGTTCGGTAGATTTGTTACGGTTTCTAAAAGTAATCACAGAGGGATTACAGACCTACAAGGAATAAAATAATAATAATAAAAAAAAACACACAAAAAGACACAGGGAATATAATCTTCAACTGCTGAGTCCTGATTTGGCTTTTGCAAAGATCACAAGTATGTCATATCCATCAAAGAGAAAATGAAACCTGTTTCCTCAAAACCGTACAGCTCATGGCCAAAAAAAAAAGCCTGTATTTGCAAAACAAAATGATGTATTAAGAAAGAGAAATACAACCAAATCAAAACGGCTGATGCATCATTTGCAAAACATGGAATTACTAAAATAAGCTACTCAGTTCATCTTACCTTCTTGGCCTGACACTTTAAGTTTCTGACCATTGCAAAATGCACCTTTTCCTTTCCTGGCAGTGTACATCTTGTCTTCTACACAACTGTACACAATTCCAAATTCTATCTGCCAAAAAAATGTAAAGATACCTCGAGGTTTTTTTCCCCCCTTTTTTCTATTTTTAAAATACAGATTTTAGTGATAGCTAGCAACAGGAAATTAATTGGGTTTTGCTTGATTAGATATTAAGTAATAAAAAGGATACCTCTTTGTTTACAACAAAGCCAATTGAAACTGCCACAAATGGAAACCTACAAAACAAAACATTTCACTATTTTACAGAGATATTATGCTTGCTTCTTCACCATGCTTATGCTTAATAAAAACAATCTTCACTTAAAAGTAGATTAAAAAGAAAAACATGAAATATTTAGAAAATAGTAGTCTTCCAGAACTTGTACCATTCACTGTGAAAACAGACCAAATTATACCAATTACAGCTACACGGTTTCCACTCACCGAAGCTGAGCCTGTTATGTCCAGACTAGGAACCGTGATCACCTTCTAGCTGAGAAATACAGTAAGAACTGGCAAGCCTCTACACTAGTAACCTTCCTCAGAAAGAACAGACTGACTGGTCAAAAAAGCCTGCATCTTCTGATGGGACCATCTCCCTCTCCATCTTTTTCCAGTTTCACCAGTAAAAGGACAAGACAGACATTGGACTGAGAAGGGAGAATGCAGGGGGAAGAGAGAAGGCAGTGGGAATGTATAGAAGACTGCATGCTGCACCCCAATTTTGCTAAGTCTAAGTTTTTAGTGATTAGCCAATTAATTTGTTTTTTTTACCCTTTTTAATTTGCAGTTCAAAAAAAACTTACTGTAATTACAATCTGTAAAAATCACAGATTTTTAGGTTTGTAAATTGAGCAGAATGGATTATTTTCTTTTAGTTTTTCAAACAAATATGCTATTTAGCAGGACTCAGCAACTGCTTAAAGCTGTGCACCATATAGGGGCAGTCATTCCAAAACTGGAATCAGATATACTCAGAAAAGCGAATCAGGGCCAGAAGTTACCCGGTCTCAAAGAGCCAGGGAAGAGGCAGTCAGCATTACCCTGACAGTTCCTCTCTCACCCTGCTGCAAAACACCACTAGACAGTTCAGTGATACCTGGTTTTTCTTCATAGTAGCAGCTCCTAGATCTCAGTGAATTTGAAATTTGTTAGAAGTCAGGAATCAGAGCTGTTAGTGACTCAGCAAAACCTCTCTGAAGATACTGCAGCTCCTAATTCCCGGTCCTGTTGCATTACTGTTAAAAATCTGCCCATCTATCTTTGGCACCTGCGCCAAAGGCTGTTGAATTCTGCTGTATAATACAGGTCTTTTTTGAAATATCTGCAACTGGTTATAGTCAGACTATTATAATACTTACAGAAATACTAATATGCTAACCAAAACTGTGAAATGGTTCTCAGATAAAACCAAGCAGCAATTTGTGACTATTAGTAAGTTCATGGCATTGCTTTTAAAGCAATTTAAAAATGAAAAAAACCTTACTTTCACCAACTGGAGAAACAAAAAAGGTCATCAGTTTAAGTTGCTAACATAAAAGACAACAGTTGAACCTGTGTACGAAGTTGGTAGTTCCATCAATAGGGTCTATAATCCAGGTGGGATTAGCTGTCAGAACGCTGCCTTCTCCAGCTGCAACAGATTCTTCTCCAATGAAACTAGAGTAGGAAAGACATTTAAAAAATATGAACAAATTGTTTAAGATGTCTGAATTACAATACCATCCTTGAAATTAAAATTCTTAAAGGAAAGGCATATGTAGTTTTTATATCAAGCACACCTATGTAAAAGTTGAGAAATACAAAATTTGTCTGGAAAGCACCAACTATACCTAGTAACTGAAAAGGCTTCTACCAATATTTATGATGTCAGAAATATGCATAATAAGTGAAAAAGATCTTTATTTTTTCATATCTGTTAATGGAATTTAGCATTCAAAACACTGAAGTTTTTAGGATTCACCCCCTCCCCCCCCCCAGTAACAGCATCATCAACTTTTTTGGCTACAATACACAGTTACAGAATAGTTGAGGTTCCAAGTGGGGCTCTAGAGATCGTTTGGTCCAGTCCCCCTTGCTCAAAGCAGGGTCACCTAGAGCAGGTTGCTGAGGACCAAGTCCAGTCAAGTCTTGAATATCTCCAAGGATGAAGACTCCACAACCACTCTGGGCCACCTGTTTCTGGGTTCAACCACCCTCACAGTGAAAAAGTTGTTTCTTATGTTTAAACCGAATTTCCTGGTTTTCAGTTTGTGCCTGTGGCCTCTCATCCTGTCACAGGGCACCACTGAGAAGAGTCTGGCTCCATCTGCTTTATTGCCCCCCATCAGGTATTTATACACATTGATAAGATCCCCGTATTTATACACATTGATAAGATTCCCCCACGAGCCTTCTCTTCTCCAGGCTAAAGAGCCCAACTCTTTCCACCTTTCCTCGTAAGACAGATACTCCAAGCTCCCTTAACCATCTTTGTGGCCTGTTGCCGGACCTGCTCCAGTACGTCCACGTCTTTTTATTTTAGTTTTCTGGAACGTCTCCTGATAGGCAGGACTTTTCAAAGATAGACAAGACTAGCCACACAATGACATCGGCCAGCTCCCTTAGCACTTGCGGGTGCACCCTGTCAGGCCTCATGGATTTGCGTATGTCCAGTTTGTTTAAGTGTTCCCTAACCTGACCCTCCTCCACTGAGAGGGTGTTTTCATTGCCTTCTGCCCCGTTTAGCAGCAGGTCCATGGTTTTACAAGTGTAACAAAAATAAGTGACTTTGTAAAGACGTGAAATCCAAAGTAGAGCTTCTCTTGAAGGGGAGGGCAGAGTGCATGCTCTACCACACTACTAAATACAAGGAATACACATAGCATAGTGCCACAGGAAAGCAAATTTCGTTATTTTTGTTGATCATGAATCTATTTGCTTTGAACTGAAAAACTACTGGAATGAGTACGAATGTGTGGAATTCTCTTCTATACCTTTTGCATGTTGTTAACATATTACTCAGCCCATGAGAAGTCTGTAACAAAAACAGAATATTGCTTTCCTCCAAGAACTGGTAAGATGGGGGAGAACTGCTAAAATTAAAGAAATAAAGTCCATTTAATATTTATTAGGAGTTTTATGTTTGACTTTAGAAGGGAAAGATAATCACTCAGAACAAAATAAAGTTCCTAAAAAGCAGCTGATCTTGAAGGTAAAGACAGAAAAGTTATTCAGGTGACTGAAAAATTCAACAGAAGGCAAAATTCAGCAGAAGTATGTCTAATGTGGTAGCAGTTATCCACTTAAAGAAAAGTTTAAAAATATTTTACAATATTTATCACTGTCATAGAAACTGCTATGTGAAGATCGTTCTACTAGCTTTTAAGTTTACATATATTTGGTTAGGTTACCGAATATTTTGCATCACTTCTGTTCTTCTAATTCTATGCTTATTTATTATATTTCACAAACACTGCTATGATAAGAACATCTCCAAAAAACTATGAGAAAAATTAGTAAACCTATCTTAAGGAAACTCTACTAAACTTGAGCCACTATGTCAAAAGAGGAAAGAAAGTTAGTTAAGTAAAATATACAATTCATCCTCCAAGAAGTTTATTTCTGAAAAAAAAGAAAGGTTGAATAATAAAGAAAAAATTTTCTAGAAAGAAAATGGGATCTTTTGGAGCTGCATAACTGAGTCTCATATAAAATTTTATGTTCCTATATTGCATGAGATTTGCTAACCAGAACTAAAGACCCACTCAGTATCATAGGAGCAATTTGGATGTTCAGGACATGCTAGCTTTCACAGCAAAGAAAGGAGAAGTTTGGTTTCCAGGTATTCTGAAGCCTCCTTTGATTCTCTAAAACAAATGAGCAAGAATTTATTTACAGCTGGCTTAACAGGAGCTGACTTGCAGCATGAGCTCTGAGCAAGGTTAAACTCCCATTAGTAGACCCTGGACCTCTAGACGCCTGAACTTTTTTGTAACTGCCACCCTCTAAGTTAATTGCAAAATCAGCTAGCAATTGATTTGGAAGCGTTTGGGTAAAACTTTGACCCACTACTACTATGAAATATTTAGTACACTGACGTTAAAGGAGAATTCTGTAATTTTCTAGCATGTCAATCATACTGAGATGTTCCCAAGTAAAATCAGAAACTTTCAATTTTGTTCTCCCAGTCACCTCACCTCTTCCTTTATCAAAAATGTATCAATAAGAAGCTGTACCTGTGAGAAGGATACTTTTCTTTTATCAAAGAAATAATGAAGCGTTCTACTTTTTGATCCGTTTCTGTCACTAGATCTACAGGTGAACTTTTAGTCATAACAGCTATTTCTTCTTTGAGCGCTCCACGGATTATCTGTTAACAAAAGAAAAAAAGCCCCTTCTTCATAAACAGCATGGAAAATATTAATTTTTCCAAGATAGCAAGCATCAGTTTTTACTGTAATTTTATATACTGCATGTACAAAACACAATACATGTAGAGACACAAAACGGATTTAATCGCAAGAGCTGTGGCTCAGCCCTATATCCATCCCTCGCCTCTATTAGCACAAACTTTTGCAGAACCTTAAAACTAAGCATTGCGGGAAGATCCATTTGTAGATGAAACAGAGCTCCATTTCGTTAGGACATATTTTAAAGTGATATGTCTAAATACCAATAAGCTGAATGAAACACGAAAGTTTGAGCTTAAGTAAGTTATCTTTAGTGAGGTCATGCATCTATGATTGAAGAACTATGATAATCAGCTTAATTAAGCATCTTTGCCTCACAGCCCAGAAAATAATTTTACTACAACTAAGACAAAGTTTCCTGTGAGGGTCAACCTTAATTTGACAGTTGGAGGCGCTTCCCCACTAGGATGTTCTGCAGGTTCTGCAGCTCCTGGGAACCGAACTGGTACACGTGTCATCTTGTCTGTTGCAATAGCATTCAAACGTACCAAGCAGAACTACCAAGAGTAAGTGAACATACAGTAATCAATCATATGTCCAGGCTTGGCTGAGAAGTGCAAGTTCTCTTTCTTGTTCTAAGCCATCTGAAACCACAAACAGGCAAAGTACTGCCACTGAGAAAGACGTTTCTCATTTATAGAAGAAAAGCAGCCTTCACAAGAAGAAAACAATAACATACATTGTGCCAAGAAAAAGCTAATGAATACAGAAGTTGACCAAAAGAGGCGAGATAACGCTACAGACGAGATGTTCAGAAGAGAGACTGTCAATAGGTGTAACGTAGACAGGTAGACAGGTACAGTTTTATAGAAAAAATAGAGATGCTCTTTCTTTATCAAATTCCCAAATCATTTTTTTAAAATCAAGTTTAAGGAATATGAGATGTTCCTTAGTCTTTATCTGACTCTGGTCCAAAGAAAGACATAAAATCATTTTCTTAAATGCACCGAGTTGAGAACAAGGAAGGTCTTGAACATGACTGAATGATTGTGCTAATTCATATTTTTGAAAAAGTATTCCACCGAGGAATAGCTAACAGCAAAACTCCTTTTAAAGCTGTATATATACTATTCTCAATACAAGATATTATTATTTATAAATAGTTTATACTTACTTCCCCAGCTTTCCTCGCTAAAGTAACTGCATAATCCATGCATTCCT